TACATGAAAATGTCTAGCCTGCGTGCATGCACACATACCCATTGTAACAATTGTCTTCTACAAAGTCAGCAGATAAATTCTTAGTCATTAATATATTTCCTTACACTGTTTTGCTTCTATCAAGCTGACTGGAGAGTGAACAAGTTAGAGTAACTATTTCCCAGAATTGTACTAGCATCTTTGACATCTTAAACAATACTTTCAGGAAAGAAAAAAAAAATAAAAAAGGGAAAAAGTCACTACCACAATTGAAGAGCAAGCATGAGCCCAGCCCCTCTGACCGTTTAATGTCAGGCCCTTTTGTATATGGGGAAAAAAAAAAAAAAAGACTATTAGTTCTATTTATTATTAAGGCTTAATGACATGGATGGGTATCAGTCTGGTAGGAAAAAAATCTACATCTCAATTAGTTCGTTAGAGATTATGTCTTTATGACATGGGTGGGTATCCAACATTCAGGGGAAAATTCACAAGTCACCAACTCAATTGAAAGAGTCCACCAAATAATAATTTGTTGGTATGACACCAAGTGACCAAAATAACACAGTCTGGACTTGCTTGAAATTCCCTGGGTTTAGTAGTCATTTGTCAATAGCTCTCAAACAATGGAGTTGTGAAATGGAGCCAGTTAAGTTATCATGATGTGGCTTCTTCATGATTTTGTCAAGTTTTTTTGGCCTTGGCGTGCACCACCTGAAATATTTTAGAAATACACATTGATTTCCTCTTTTGAATAAATAGGAAGAAAGTAAATCTCCTGTGCGCGTGAGGCCTGAAGCCAACAAAGCCCATGATTCAGAATAGGACAGAGACTCCACAGTTGGCAAAAGCTCTTTGGTAAGCACTTGTTGTCACCAACAGACCTGGACAAAATCTTTCTGTCCTTGCTAAGCCCAAACTACCATTAAACATTAATGGGAAGATCATCTGAATCAGATCAGCATGCTCTGACCTGCTGTTGATGCTTATTTCAGGTTTTCAGCACTGTCTGTCCTGAAACTTTCTCATGGTCTAAAATAATATCTTTAGAATCTAACCTTTTATATATATATACATAGCTGAAAGACAATAATACCCATGCACAGATTTTTTTGTCTGATTTTTTTGTCCTCTGAGAAGACGTCTAATAGCAGATTTCTTCGGGGCCTAATAGCATTTATTGTTGTCCACTAAACTGAGTGGTAGACCCTCCATTTATCCGATATGACCAGAGGGAGGTCCTTTTCAGTGAAAGCAAACAATTAGGAGCCCTAAGTTATTATTTCCTATTATTGTGCAATAAAAGAGGCTCTGGCCGTTTCAGTGTGAAGGATTAAAGTGTCCGGGATTGCAAACATCGTGCAACCACTTTCCTCCTCCCCCCGCCCCCGCACACCGCCCAAGCACTCCAGGCTCCCTCGGGGAGCACGAACGCGCTGCCCCAC